TCTTGCCTTCCTATTGCTTTCCTCCTTGGAGACCTCTAATGCAGACCAGTAACGGTGTCACCAGCCTGGGCTGGTTTTGGATGTTTCCCATCAGGGTTTGGTCCCAGGGAGCAGATAACCAGGGATTCATAGGGCGGTCTGGGGTGGAAGGGGCCTTCAGAGGTCATCTGCTCCAGCCCCATGCAGTGACACGTTCCATATGACACCACAGTGAAGGCAGCACGGGGATGGGGATGCTGGTGAAGGGTCCTCACCAGCGCAGAGCTGCACTCAGCTTTGCAGCTGGAATCTCTGTTCCCGGTGGGATCAGGGTGAATCCCAGCTTTAAGACAATGGGTGGGAAGGAAGCAATCGGGAAGCAAAGAGCACAGCATCCTCCGACCATACAGGGCTTCAGTGCAATAAATAGAAGGGAAAAGGACCAAAATAGCCCCCAGTGTAGCCCTGGGGAGGAAGCAGGGATGCTCTGGGGTCAGGGGGTTGCTCTCCCAACCCACCCCGAAGCCATGAGCCACGGGGAAGGGGATGACCTGCAGTGCTCCATAGGGGTGGGCTTTAGGGAAGGTGCCTGAGCCCCCATAAAACCCGCTGCACCCCAAGTCCTTGCAGGGATTTGGTGCTTCCCCAGCCCTTAGCACCCAGCCGAGCTGCACAGGCAAAGTCCGGCTGCCAAGGTGCAGGCATTGGAATGGGAGCCGGGAATAACCCCGGCACGCTGGGAGCGGGGTCTGCGGGCTCGGGTGCCCAACGCAAGCGCCTTCCCCCGGCCGCCAGCGCCCCTGCTCCGCATTCGGCCTCGCGTTTGGTCCGCAAAGCGCGGCCCCGCTCCCTTCCGATGGGCGAGAACAGTGCCCATCACACCCCAAACCTGCGCTGCACCCCGGGGGTGACACCGGGGAGGGGGGGCACTAGGACCCGGTGCAGGTCTGGGTTCAGTGGGGGGGGTCCCCCCCTCCCCATGGCCCCGCTGCTGGAGCCCTCCCAGGGCTTTGCCGCTTTAAACCTGCCTCTCCCACGTGCTGTCTGGTTGTGCTGGAGACGGTGACGCAGGCGGGACGTCAATGGGCGCTGTGGGAGAATTTAGACCCGGAGAGGAAGAGGAGGAGGAGGGGGGGGGGAGGAAGGACCAGGGCAGGGAGCTGGGGGGGGGGGCAAGGGGCAAGGGGGACCCGGCCCCAGCGCTCTGCGGTCCCTCGGGAGCATCCCTCGCTCCGTGCCACGTCTGAGAGCAGCAAATCCCCCCCTCCCCCCCAGCATTGTCACCGTGCGTGTGGTACCCCTGTCCCTGTCCCGTCCCCCCCCCCCCTCAGCACGGGGCGCGGGTGCAATGGGCTCTGCTTGGCACCGTGCGCTGGCACATCACCAACGGGGACTGGGTGCCATGGGGAGCAGGGGTGGGGGGGACCATCCATTGTGGTGCCATTGGAAGCAGGGCTGGGGGGACCCCCCATCACAGTGCCACAGGGACCCCCATTGCAGTGCCACAGGGCTAGTGGGGCACTGCAATATGTTTGATGCCCTGTCCCCACTGTGGGCATCGCAGTGGTAGCCCAGGGCTACCCCGAGGGCCACCCCAGGGACAGGGTCTGGCTGCAGCCCCACTGCTCTGCAGCATCCCAAGGGCTGTGGCATCGCTGGGCACGAGCTGGCGGCAGAGCTTCGGTGCCAAGGTGAGCCACAAGCTTTGCCCCTTCACCGCATCCGGGTCCCACCTTCCTAAGAGCCAAGGTGGTCTCCCCAAAAGCAGCTTGGCTCCATTGGGGGACAGCAGCAGAGAGAGCAGAGGTCTTGAGGAGGGGGGAGAGATGCTGCTCCAGCTCTCAGCCTGATGGCTTTGAAGCCAGCCCTCATCAGCTCCTCTCCCCATGCTCAGAGCAGGGAAGGAGCAACTCATTTCCCCACTTTAGGTTTCGGGGTGCCCCTTTGCTTGGCCGCCCCGAGGCTGGAGGTGGCTGCATCTTGGGGGATGCAGGATTCCTCCCTCCTCACCCGCTGGCACAGGGCTGAGGGAAAGCGATTCCCGCTGTCAGGAGCCTGCATCCCAGCTGCACGGAGCAGCAGCCTGGTGTGGGAAGGGAGTTACTGAGCGCTGGGTTCCCAAGAGAAAGGGAAGGAACCGGCTCCGACCGACTTTCCAAGTACTTGGAGGTGCAGCGGAACGTAAATACCCTGGGCTGGATCCTTGTTCCCTCTCCCCCAGCCCGTGGCTCAAAGGGAGGCCCCGGAGCTGCCCATCGGGATGAGTTCTCGTCGGTGTTTCTTTGGCTCCGTGAGCTCAGTTGATTGGAAAACAAACCCCGGAGGATCCTTGAGGAGAGGCTGCAAACAGCGCTCGGTGCAGATGACTAATCCCATCTCCATCTAAACCAACAGGCTGCTAAAAATAGCCCCTTTTTCTAACAATAAATATCATAAAATAACCGACTGACAACAAACAGCCCCAAAAAGCCAAACACGCGGAGAAGTCCACCAGGAATCCGTGTGGGGATGGGGGAAGGAGCCAGCAGGAAACTGTGTCACTGAGGCAGGGGGGTGATGAGGTGCCAACGGTGATGCTCCGGTTGGAGCTGGCCTCTCATTTGAGCGTGTCCTACCTCTTGTCTTAATGGGATGGAATCATAGAGCCATGGGATGGTTTGGATTGAAGGGACCTTAAAGCTTATCCAGTTCTATCCCCCTTGGTTGCTCCAAGCCCCTGTGTCCAACCTGGCCTTGAGCACTGCCAGGGATGGGGCATCCAAACCTTCTCCATTCAACCCATCCCAGTGTCCCAAAACCCTCACAGGGAAGAGCTGCTGCCTAAGATCCCATCTCCATCTCCCCTCGGGCAGGTTCAAGCCATTCCCCTTGTCCTGTCCCTGCATCCCTGCATCCCAAGCCCCTTTCCAGCTTTCCTGCAGCCCCTTTAGGATCCGGAGCTGCTTTTAGGTCTCCCCTTCACAGAGCAGAGAGGGAGAATCCCCTCCCTGAGCTCCTGCTCCCCCCGGGGATGCTACCAGCACAGAGGGGTGCTCTGGGTCCGTGCCACCATCCCGGTGCCACTGGGCCCCATAGCAGGATCCCTTTCCCCTGGGATGCGGGTCCCCTCGCCCCTCCCTGCCCATGGGCCTCCTGGAGCCGGGTGCTCACCACACACCTCATCTCCTCCTTATCCATACACCAGGAGCCTCATCCCACACCCAGCGCGTTGCAAAACACCCCCTCGGCTGAGTCATTGGCATTGGGAACCTCTTCCTGCCCTCCTGGCCTTGAGGAAGAGCCATCCAGGATGAGCAGTCCCGATGGGAGCAAAGGCCAGCCCCAGCCTCCCTCATCACCTCAGCCTTTGGGGTGCTGACTGGGGTTTTGGGGTTCGGGCAGCACCTTGTGCCATGGAGGAGCAGGAGGCTGGCACCAGATGGGGGATGCTCAATGGCCCCGGCATCACCTCGGTATGCACCCACCGGTTGTGGGGATCCATGAAACATCTCCCATGGAGCCTCCATCCCTTGACACCAGCTTCCTTCTGCCGGGAGCAGCCCCACACCAGCTTTTGCACTGCTTTATGGCACAGGAATCCCTGGGAAAGGGCAGCCTGGCTCCCAGCCATCCTGTACTGCATGGCAGTGGCTGAACCACCACCAGCCATGCTCCTTGGTCCGTGTGCGGAGGTGCCAGCGCTGCCCTGATGGGCAGCACCAAAGGCACCACGAGGGGAGGAATCAGGTCCCTGATACCCCTCAAAACCCAAATCCCGCCCCAAGAGCCGGGGCGAGGAGCGAGCAGGAGGCATCGTTCGACAGGTTGGATCTCTTGAGGGCAACCACAGAGCAATTTACACCGGGGTTGAAGCTCCGGGAGGAGCAGGAGCAGAGGGAACGCGATGCCCCGCAGTGCAGGACGGGCTTTGATGCGGCCGGGCCGCGCTGGTGCTGCATCCACATCGTGTGCCCGGCCCCAAGGGCTTGGTGCTGCGGGGAGAGCCCGTGTCCTGCTGCAGCCCCGCGGGTCGGAGGTGCCCCGAGCAGCCCCATGGCTCCATGGGGACGTTTTCCTGCTTCCAAGTGCTGGATCCAGCCCCAGTCACCGGGACGGGGGTGATGAACGTGGCGTGTAGGGACCCACACCAACACTGACCCCCCCCCTCAGCCTCATCCCCCCCCGTTTCCCCCATCACCGCAGCCCCTGTCCCACTGCTGCGGGAAGCACCCACACGAGTGGGGCTGCACTGGGCGCTGCGGGTGGGAGGGGGGGGTCTTGGCTTTGCTCTTTCTTACCCCCCGCCCAGCTCTTTCACACCCCCCCCGCTCTGCCTTCATCCAGCTCTATTCACCCCCATCTCTTTCTTCCCCCCCACTTCTGTCCCTACCCTGCTTTGCCCCCCAACTCTGTTCTGACCCCCATGCCCTGTTTCTGCCCCCCAGCCCCTGTCCTTGCCCCCCTCTGCTCCCCCCAGTTCTGTCCCCCCCCTCAGCTCCATCTTCTCCTCACTCCAATCTCAGTCCCGCCCCCCATCCCCTGTTCTTACCCCCTTTGTTCCCCCCAGTTCTGTTCCCCCCCTCGGTTCTCCCCCCCCCAGCTCCATCCTACCCCCCCTCCAACCTCAGTCCCACCCCCCATCCCGGTTCTCCCCCCACTCCAATCTCAGTCCCGCCCCCCATCCCCTGTTCTTACCCCCCTCTGTTACCCCAAGTTCTTCCCCCCCCCCACTTCTCCCCCCTCCAATCTCAGTCCCGCCCCCCCCATCCCGATTTCCCCCCCCCATCCCGGTTCTCCCCCCCATCTCCATCCACCCCCCCTCCAATCTCAGTCCCACCCCCCCATCCCGGTTCTGCCCCCCCATCCCGGCTCTCCCCCCCATCTCCATCCTCTCCCCCCCCTCCAATCTCAGTCCCGCCCCCCCTTCCCATTCTCCCCCCCCATCTCCACCCCCCCCCCCAACCTCAGTCCCGCCCCCCCCCCCGCCCCGCCCCCCCCCGGCGCCCCCCCCCCCCCCTCCCTCCCTCCCTGGCCCCGCCCCTCTCCCCCTCTGCCATTGGCTGCCCGCTCTGCGCCGCGTCCTGACGCTGGGCCGGGCCCGGCCATGGTCGCTCCGCGCCGGCTCCGCCGCAGCCCCGGGAGGAGGCGGCCGCCGGGCTCCGCGCCCGCGCAGGTAGGTCCGGGCCCCGCTCGGTTCCTTCCTCGGTGGGGGGGGGGCAGGGGGGTCCGTTCCTCATCCCCCCCTTCTCACTGACCCCCATTAATTCATCAACTGCGCGTTACTTCCGACCCCCCTCCCCATCCGCGGTGCCGTCGGGCTGTGATTGCACACGGGGGGGTTGGAACCCTTTGGTACCCTTTGGTACCCCCCATCCCCTGTGCTGCGCGGGGCCGCCCCGCGGCGGCGGGGATGGGCGAGCACATCCTTCCCCCCCCCCCTTTTCGCTTCCCTCCCCTTCCCTTCCTCCCCTCCCCGGCGCCGCTTCAAAACAAACCCGTCACCAAGATGGTGAAGGAGGGGAGGAAGGGGAAGAAGCAGGTGATGGGGGGGGGGAAAGCGATGCGCGGGGATGGGGCCCGCTTCGTGCTGCTGATAGGGGCCCGAGGGGTTGCACCCCCCTGGGGACACCCCCCCCCACGCCTCCGCCAAGCACCCCGAAGGAGAAGGGATGTGGGGTTTGAAGCGGGGGGGTGATGCTATGGGGCTCGGCGTGCAGGGTTGGATTGGGAAGAGCAGCGTTTTAGGGGCTGGATGGAGGCCTTGCTCCGGTGCCCCCAGCGGTGGGGTTGGTTGCTATGGTTGGGGGGGGGGGGCAAGACCCCGGTGCTGCTCCCCCCCACCCCCCGTACCCCGGGACATCGAGGCCGATGCGGGGTATCCGGCATCCGGATGCTGCGGAGCATCTCGAGCGCTCTTTGCCCCTCGGCTTTGGTGCTGTATTGAGCCCCCCCCCTCCACTCGTGTGTGCCCGCAGCTCCATAGGGACACAAACTGGGGGGGTTCCGTCCCCCCCTTTCCTCACCCTCCCTGTCCCTGTCCCTGCGGATGTGGCTGGGGACCGGCCGCAGGCACCAGTAAGTGGAGCACATCTGGTGCGAATCCCTCCCCGTGTCCCTCCCCGCCGTTCCCACCCTGATCCTGCCCTTCCAAAGCCTCTTCTCCCGCAGCGGGTGCTCCCACGTGGGTTTTCCGGCTGGCGTTGCTTTCCCAAGGTGGGTGCTCCCGTGTCCTGGTGTCCCGGGGTACCCAGGCGATGGGCATGGGGCTCGGCGCAACGGGGACGCTGCGGGAGCTGCATCCCCGCATCCAGGTTGTGGGGTCTGAGGATGGGAAAGGTGGATTTGTGCTGTTTGCTCCGTGGCTGCCGGTGGCTTTGGCCTGGGAAGCGCTTGGGGGCTGCCCGGAGCGGAGCCTGAAGGTCACAGACCTCTGGCTGGGCCTCATGGCTTCTCCTTTCCACCCCCCTTTTCCTTGCCCTTCATCCCTGCAGTTGTCGTGGCTTTGCCAGGCTGAGGCATCCACACTTGTGCTGTGCTGGGAGCAGGTGGCCCCTGTCCCCCCCCCACCCCGGCGCCGCTCGGGTTTCCAGACTGCTGGAATAGCGCCGTGGCCTCCGCCGTGCTGGGATTGAACGTGCTGAAGGGGTTTTACCTCCTGTGCCTGTGTGTGTGTGGGGGGGGGCAGTGCTTCCAGCCCCCCCCCATCACAAACCATCTCCTGCTGGTGGGGGGGGGGGGTCACATCCCTGCATCTTCTATGGGGACCTTGAGAAGTGACCTTGGGCACATCGCTTTGCTTCGGTGCTGCTCTCGGAAGGGGATCATGGTTCATGTGTGTCATTCCCATTCCCCCCCGTTCCCTCCTTGTCCGTGTAGGGCTCCGGTTGGGAAGCGCTGGAAAGGGCTGTTGCTATTTTATCCCGGCCCCGAGCGGGCAGGGTGGAGGCTCGGACGGTGCCGGAGTCGCCCGGGGTGGATTTTTCCCATGCTGCCAAGTGAAACAAGTGGGGTCTGATTCTCATTTAATGCCGCAGCCCTTTCCTGCCACTCTGGCAACGTAAAGGAGCCTAAATATGGTCATAAACCGCATCCACTTCGAGGTCCCTCCGTGCTGCCGGCATCTCTGTGCAAAGGAGAACAAAGCCCAAAAGGTCCGGGAGCGGGACCCAGCTCTGTGGTACCCGGAGGTGCTGGTGAAGGATGTTGCAGAGGAAGGATGGAGCGGGTGAAGGGTGATACTGCCCAGTTCATCCCACAGGACCAAGTGGGCTCTGCCCCTGTCACCCCAAAACCCATCTGGGGTGAAGGGGCAGAAATGGCTTTTCCCTTGTTTTTGTCCCCAAGCCAGGGTTGCTTCCTTGTCTCAGGTCAGCATCGCTTGCTGGACCCGCCATGGGATGCTGTGGGATGTACCCCAGTGATGGGTGGCTTCCTTGGGAGCAGAGGGAAAGGAGGGAGAGGGATGCGTGGTGCTGGGGCCGCTGCTGCCCTGGGTGCCCAGTGCTGGTGGAGCGAGCAGCCCTGGCCAGGCGCTGTCTGAGGCTTGGGAAGTGAGCCGGTGGCATCCCATTAAATCCCATTAACACCCAGGAGCACATGGAGGTGGCCTGAGCTGATGGGGGCTGCTGTGTAGATGCCGTGGCCGGACTTCCCCATCTGCAGCCACAGCTAAAAATACCCCCCCCCCCCCCTTTGCCTCTCCCCATCTGCACCCAGGGCCGGGGACTCGGTGTTTGGTCGCTGTTTTGGCAGGTCCTGGAGGCTGAGCCATCCCCAGCTCCGAGGTGACTCTATTGCAGATGACATTCCTGCCCCCGGGAAGCTATGGCTCTGCTCTATGCGGCCAGCATAAAGCAAGTGAGTCACAGCAGGGGCAGGGAGGAGGAGGAAGAGCAGAATCGCGCGGCAGGACCATGGGATGCATCAGCCCCTCGCCTCCTCGAGATGCTGTTTATCCCTTTGCCATCAGCGCACCTCTAATTCCCTTCTCCTTCCTTTCCCCCCCTTGGAATTAGAGCAGCTTTCAAGAAAAAGCTGGAATTTCATCCTCATTTTGTTCCATGGGAGCTTAGGCAGTGCTGGGAGGACCTCGAGGTTTCTCCCTGTGCCTTGTTTGAGCAGCAGTTTGCTTTTGCTCTCAAGATGGATCTAGCTGTCTGCCTGCCAGCAGCTCTACCTCCACAGATCTGCTGGGCTTCATCTCGCGCTCCAGTTTGGTTGCCTTGTGCTTTTTCCTTCTGTTTTCCCCTTTTCCCTCGCTCCTGGTGTCTCTCTGCTGGAGCTCCCCACTGCTTGGAAACAAGACAGGAGCTTGCATCCTCTAAGGATTAAAGCCCCAGTGGCCACGTGGAGTTAAAGATGTGGATTTGGGGTGATTCATTATGGGGGGGGCTCTGTGTTTGCTTTCTCTTGAATGGTGGCTGAGAGGATGGGGGGATCAGCATCCTGGATGCAGGATGGGGGGATCAGCATCCTGGATGCAGGATTGGGGCATCAGCATCCTGGATGCAGGATGGGGGGATCAGCATCGTGGATGTAAGACGGGGGGATCAGCATCCTGGATGCAGGATGGGGGGATCAGCATCGTGGATGTAGGATGGGGGGATCAGCCTCCTGGATGCAGGATGGGGGGAGCGTCCTGGATGCAGGATGGGGGGATCAGCGTCCTGGATGCAGGATGGGGGGATCAGCGTCCTGGATGCAGGATGGGGGGGATCAGCGTCCTGGATGCAGGATGGGGGGATCAGCGTCCTGGATGCAGGATGGGGGGATGAGCATCCTGGATGCAGGATGGGGGGATGAGCATCCTGGATGCAGGATGGGGGGGATCTGCATCCTGGATGCAGGATGGGGGGATCAGCATCCTGGATGCAGGATGGGGGGATCAGCCTCCTGGATGCAGGATGGGGGGATCAGCGTCCTGGATGCAGGATGGGGGGATCAGCGTCCTGGATGCAGGATGGGGGGATCAGCCTCCTGGATGCAGGATGGGGGGATCAGCCTCCTGGATGCAGGATGGGGGATCAGCCTCCTGGATGCAGGATGGGGGGGATCAGCCTCCTGGATGCAGGATGGGGGGGAATGAGGCTCTATGGGGAGAGTTTTGGGGGAATGCTTGGCCCATGGTGTTTGAGTTGAGGTTGGGGGCTGCTCCTCAGTTTCCCATCTCCCGAGCTGTAGGTGCCCCTGGATCCCAGCGGGATACTGGGTCTGGATGAGCTGAGCTGCGTGGGGACCTCACAGCAGCTTCCAGTGCCTGGAGGGGGTTCCAAGGATGCTGGAGAGGGGCCTTCACCAGGGACTGTGGTGATAGGACAAGGGGTGATGGGTTCAGACTGAAACACGGGTTGAATCTAAGGCAGAAGCTCTTCCCTGTGAGGGTGCTGAGGCTGAGGCTGCCCCATCCCTGGCAGTGTGGGACACAGGGGCTTGGAGCATCCTGCTCCAGTTTTAGGTGTCCCTGCCCATGGCAGGGGGTTGGAACTGGCTGAGCTCCAAGGTCCCTTAACCTCAAACCATTCCCTATGACAGCAAAGCACCGGAGCAGTGCCAGGCCAAGCCGGTAGGGCAGGATGGTGCCCGCGCTGGGATGTGTCAGGCTGTAGCCACCACTGTAGTGTCCCATCCCAAAGCAGCCGGACTGGCCCGTGCCGGGGCTGTGCCGAGCAGGACACGGATGCTTTCCCAACGTGCAATTATCCATGGCTTTCCCTGGAGGCTGCGCATGGAGGGGGCTCCACAGCACCCCCATTCCTGACCCTCCTCCTTTGAACTGAGCAGCGCTGATTGAAGTCCAGGAGCAGGGAGCTGAGGCCTTGCCATCTGTGCTGCCATTGCCCCCATGCCCTGGCGTGGATGTCTCAAGGTCAAAGCCGTGCTGCGGTGTCTTTGGGCAGGAGCCAGCGCGGGGCTGAAGCGCTCCCACCTCCTGCCTTGACTCAGTGCTGGTTTGGGGTTGGGAAGGGGGTAATTAAATGACCTATTTCTGGGCAAGGAGGAAGAGGAGGAGGAGGAGGAATCGTTTCTCTTTCCAGAACTTCAAACAGCTTCCAGCAAGCGGCCGGCACCAGCCCAAAACCGCATCCACAGCAGGAGGTGCCTCCCATCTGGGATGCTCGGGGCGCGTGTGGGGTCCGGGTGCCATGGGGAGGGAAGGGGCATCTCCCCCTCAGC